GCTGCCGCCCCCGGGAAGGGAACCCGCTTATAAGGCGGCGCTGCCCGACGGGAGGGGCTTCCCAGGGGTGGGGCAGGCGGGAGCGGGGAGGAGAGGAGAGGGGAGGGGGATGAAAGAGGAGGTTGGAGAGGTGGGGATAGGAGGATGAAAGCGAGGGGAGGGAGAGCTAGAGAGCCGGGAGGGAGGACGAGACCAGGAGGGGGAAATGGAGAGACTGACGGCCGCGGAGAAAGAGTGGGGCGAGGAGGTGGGAAGGGGTGGGGTTCCTGCGGGGAGGCACCTTTCCAAATCCCAACCTACTGCCTGCGAATGTGGAGTCTGGCTTTTGGGGGCGGACTGGAGAGGTGGCCAGAATCCTACTGACCCCAAAAAAAGCCCTGGGATTTTGTCAAAGGGTGGGGTGAGGGGAGCAGATGGGAAGATAGGGCAGGTATTTGAGAAACCAAAAGCTTAAAGAAGAGGAATAGGGTTCGGGCGCTCCTTCCACACCACGCCGGATTTCCCCCTCTCATCCTCCATCCACATTCTCTGGATGGCCTTGAGGAGGGATGGGAGGGCAGAAAGGGCGGCCCAGCCTTCCCTCCCGCCAGATTGACACTTGTGACCCTTGCCGGGTGCCTGCCTTCCTGGCCCCGTGCTGTGAGCTGGAGGGAGTCAGGCCCCTGGTCTCCTTTGCTTCCAGCTCTCCTCCATCTTCTACCTCTCTTATTCGCCTGTCACCTCACTTTTATTCGCCTGGTCCTTCTATTTCTCTTCATCTGTCCTCAGTCATCTGTACCCAGACCCCTCCCTCACAACCAATTATAACTCGAATCGCTCCCATTCTTCTCTCACCTCTTCTCCACTCCTTACTGACCCTCTTCTGCCCTTCCACCTCTGGTCTCTTTCCCTACCTTTCCCAGACAACCCTGCTCTTGTCTTATCTGAGTCAGGCACCTGGCCCTCTATTCTTGGCTGGCTTTCCTCAACTCCTCTTTCTGTCCTCATTTTTTACATTTGCCGTCCGTTAGCTTTTCTCATTCCTCTGCTGCCATCTTCCCTAGCCTTTCTGGGTTATATTTGCCTCCTTTGCAAATATAATACAGGTCCAGGTCTGGAGTTCCAGCCCCACCCTATTCCAGACATCCTCAGCTCCTCGCCCTCAATCTCGGTATCTTTGAGTCATTTTGAAAAGCTTGGGATTTCAGAAGGGAACAGGGGCTGGGTTGTGTATTAAAGGTCAGGAAGGTGGACGGGGTGGAAGGCTGGGGTTTGGAAAAAGACCTTTGGTGTGCGTGCACTCCTATATTTGTCTGTCATTATCATTATTCCTCATCTTTTCATTTTATTAATAAAAAACCATTTTGATGATCATTATCATTATTTTGTGTTGGAGTGCTTAAATACACCATCTTTTGGTCCCTTGATGTACACGCCTCCCAGTTTCTCTTTCTGACTTTTCTATCAATATTTCATTCTCAGTCTCCTCAAAAATCTTGGGGCCCCACCCAGGATTTTTCCTTGCCGGACTCTATCTTTTCTGAGATCTTTCCATGTCCCTCTCTCAATCTGCTTCTCTGACTCACTGGCTGATGTCTTCAGCCGTCTCTCACCATCTCCATCTCTGTACTCCTCTTGCTTCATTTATCTCCCTCTCCTCGATCCTTTGCTACTCCCCCCCCAACCAACCCAGTCTCCCAGTCTCGCTCCCTCCCCATCAGGCTCTTTCCTCTCCCTCCCGCCTTCCTTTCCTCTTCCCTCCACTCCACCTCCCAGCCCCGCCTGCTGTCTCGGACACCCTGCTGGGCTCTTACCCTGTTGCCCTGGTAACCGCCCCCCACTCCGGTCACCTCCACTCCCCTCCCCCCTCCAATCACCGCCACCAACAACCTCCATCCACCTTCCTCCTATTTTTCCTGATAGCCAATAGAAACCCTGTTGCCAGGTGGAATGCTCATTTGAATGAGCCAATCCAGAAGCCTAACTGCTTGCCCTGCCTTATATGGGGATGTGAGATGGGCCACTCCCCCAACTCCAGCCCCACAGGGGACCAGCCCCTCCAGTGTCCCTTCTCCCCGCCCTAAAGAGAGGCTGGGACACTCCCTCTCACCCTTCCATAAGGGGCCTGGCCTCCCACTTCTCTAACTGGGACCACCAGGGTTAGCGTGGGCTGTGGGCCGGACTGTGGGCTGGGCCTCAGGGCTGGGGGTGGGAATGAGGTGTGATTAGGGAAGGGGAGGCGGAGGGAGCCGGGAATTTTGCCCAGGGAGGGGTGTCTGGGAGCAGAGGCAGCTGCAGTGGAAAATTC